TCTTGTGCACAGCTCTGAGACTGTGGTGGCGAGCTGTTCTTTCCCTCTTCCTGGGAATAAAGTGGTCTTTTTTGCTGGTGCTGGCTGGATGGGACTTTTCAGGTGCATTGAGCAGCCCCTTGTTTCTGGATGAGGGAAGAAGCTGAGGCCATTACCTGGGCCCTGGAACTCCAGTGGGAACCGAGGTCTCCTGGCCCAAACCCTGCTCCTTCCCTTCTACCTTGTTCTGGAAAATTCTGTTCTTGGTGTCCCCTTGATTTCCTGAGTAACAGCGCTCTTCCTGCTCCCCACATGTCTCTACCCCCACCACACACACACACACGCACGCGCACACACGCACACACGCACACACATGCAGATGCACATCACTTGTTCAATGCCCCATGACATCTGTCTGCTAACTCAGGAGTTCTTGCAAAACGCATTCTGCTCCAGGTTCTTCTTGTTGAAATGCTCAGGAAAGGGAAAAGCAGTGGTTTGGACAATTCCCGTAGCACATACATCACCCTTGATAACTGTTCATCTGTTGGGAGGGACAGTTCCTCAAATAGAGGGTGAGTGTTGTTCTTAAGATTGGTGAAGCCTGAATCAGAGAATAGGACCCAGGCTGATTATGGAAAAGGAATGAGAAAGTATGAGAGGGTTGAATCCTTGGTAGCTTTACCAGGAAAGGGTGACATACCCGTAGCATTTTTCATTTGTAAATGTGGCTCTTCTTAAAAACATTCAAATACTTGCCTATCACCCACTTAGCTCACCCTCATAACAATACTGCACAAGCCAAGCCAAGTTAAGGGCTGCAGTAGGATTTTTTATGGGTTTTTTTTTTCTTTCTCCCAGGCACCCTGCCCTCATACTTCTGTCCCCCACCACCTATCTCTGAGCTGGGATAGGGATGGGACAGGGGAAGAAAGAGGAATCAAGACCTTTATAAAATATTCACCTTACACTGAAAAAATGCAGTGAGAACGTGGCCGCGTATTTATTGGAAGACGATGGTGTGCGCTGTGGATTCTCCTGGGGTGGGGGGTTGGGGGCATGATCTTGGGGGCTTGCTGAGCCGTTGGCACTCCTGGCCTTGGGAGGAATAAAGGTCCTTCCTTCCCCCTGGAAACTTGGCCCCTGGAAGTTGACAGCTCTGTTCTTGGGAGACCGGAGGCTGAATTCTTGTCGCCTGATTCCACAGCAGGCCTGAAAGCCACAGATGGCTGCCAACCAGCACAGGTCGGATCACGATTTGCCTGTGGCTCGGGCCGCAGTGAGCAAGCCCCACTGAGGAGGCATGCTCTCCCCCAGGGAGCCTGACATTTCAGGAAACTGGGCCAGCTTCCTCTCACCCTCCTTTCTCCTGACACTAGCAACACGATAAAGGGGGAATGGGGCAGGAAGCTCAGGCTCTGTTGTCTTCCACCCTGAAGGCTTTGTGTCCCTGAGCAAACTGTAGCTGGCAAAAGGGGCTGCAAATAGAGAGACCTGGGGTGGCAGTAAAGGAATATTCCCAGCGGGGACGCTCCGGCGCTTGTCTGACAAGCATTTGTGAACCGAACTGATCTGATTACTCAGGACTTTTCTTAGCTGGTGGTGGCTCAGAGAGGGGCTGCAGCGGCTTCTCATTCTATTTAATTTCTGTTTTCCAAGAATGAATATCAAGGGAGCAGCTTTGATTAAACAAGCCTTTAAAAAGGGAAGAGAATGCCAGGTTTTACAGAAAGCTTTCCCGAGTTGCTGGCAAATGGCCACATGACACAATATTTTTAGTCTATGGATATTATCTCCTTTCTGAGTACAAAACTGCTATTCCCATTAACACAGGCTCGTAGGTTCAGGGATAAGGAAATTAGCCTGGTGTTAAAAGAAAAAAAATCAGGATTCCAGGAAATCAGCCTCTTAATAAAAATGAAAAAGAAATTCTCCATGTTCCTTAGTCTACAGCCATGCACCCTTTCTGTCGGCTGCCGTTTCGTTTTTCTTGCTCGCTGAGATGTAGGCGGAACTGGGGGAGACTTCATAATCCAGCCTTGCCTTACCAAAGTAAAACAGATTGGTTTTTTTTTTTTTAATTAGGCAAGATTTTCGTTGTTGTTGCCTTTTTGTTTTGTTTTAAGATTCTTTAAGGTGGGAATGTTGGTCTCCGATGGGAAATAGGCAAGAAGAAAACCCCAGGATTTAACATTTAATGAATATGTATTGATTGAGAAAAATATTTATTGAGCATCTATTATGTGTTAGGCACTAGAGATGTAGTAACGAGTAAAATGAAGCCCTTTCCCTCATGGATCTTACACTGTAATCCACAGGGGCAGTTAACCTAGATTGAGGACTTACCATGTTCCAGGCACTGTTCTAGAACTTTAAGTGATAACCCCTTGGACAAGCGCTGTTATTATTACTTTTTGTTGCACAAGCTCTCGCAGCTACAAAGTAGTAGAACCAGGATTCAGACTCAGCAGTCTGGCTCCAGAGCCACCGCACTTGACTCAGCCACCCCCATTCGTGACTCTTCTATTCTAGATGGGGCTAAGTCTCCCTTCTCCATTGCCATCATATCCTGTGTAGTCTCCCTCTGAGCAGGTCTCCCACATTTTCCTTGTATGTTCTGTCAGTTGCCCATCAGCTTTTGGAGAGCAGGGTCTGTCTGTCACGTCTGTGGCCAGAGGCTTTCTCCTGTTTGAGACTAACCAGAACTGAGGCCCTATCTCCTAGAGCATTAAACACACTGGAATGGCATCCCGATCCAGGGGCATATAGTAAATGCCCCCCATGGGTCTATAAACCCTGCCATTCCATCACATCCAGCTTGAGCCTCCGATCTATGGATATGTGAGGATTCTCTGCAGGGAAGGCTCAGCTCAAAGGCACAGAATGGCTCTGTGTATATAGGCAGCTGCTGCCCAGGCTGTGAGCTGGGGAGATGGTGGGGGGCCTTGGGACTTAAACATTGTACCTTTGAGTGCTGCCACGCTGTTTATACAATTTGGAGGGGCTGGAAGAAGGGTGTTCCTTGCTGTTGCCCAAATATTCCCACTTAAAAATGGGTAAGAACCACTTAAGTGACTAGCAAGAAGGACCTAGTAAAGTAAGCCCTGCAGTAGAAAGCTGTGCCATCTTTAACCAACCAGGCGGTAAGGTAAGAGTTAAGAATATGGGGAAATGCTCAAGCACAAAGGCAAAGAACGAAGAGAATGTAATTTTGACTAGAGTATCATCTCAATTTTTTTTTGGAGGGTATACGTGTGCATAGAAAAGAACAGGGGGCTCTTTGTGAAAATCGTAAGATTTTATAGGTGACTAATCTTGAGTTTCTTTTTTATATTTTTCTGTCTTTCCTAATTTGTGTGTAAAAGTATGTTTTATTACAATTAGCAAAATGGTTAAAAACCTTATAATGGCCCCAAATGAGATCATTAATCTATTTTCTGTGTATTCTCTCTTCTTCTGTGGGGAGCTTAGCTGCGATCACACAACAGAGCAAATCGCTGGGTTGGAAGCCTTGGCTGGCATTTCCTTTGATTCTAGACTTCAGGGGCTGTGGCTCCAATTGCAAAATCTCCACTGATTATCTGATCCAGCGATCTAAGGCCTTGAGGACAGATCATCTCTCATCCTAGTAGGAAATAACGAAACCTTCAAACCTTAAAGCCCTTTGGAACAAATGGCTATAAACACGTAAACCTTGCGCGTTGCTGTGGTGCTTCGCATTTTCCAGCGTGCCTTCTGATGTAATCCTCACAGTAACATGGAGGAGCTGGTATCCTCCTCCATGGAGGAGGTGGTATCATCTGTATATTACAGGCAAGGAAGGGGCTTGTCCCAGGTCCTGTGGTGAGGACCAGAACTTGGACTCAGCTCTTGTGATCCAGGTCCTTCACCTGCTTCGTTGACATCATCATGGCCACAAGGAAGCAATCTTGATGAGCACCCATGGATAGCACAGGGTTGGTCCTCCCATGGGATGCCCTCAGGGGGCTGTGCAAATAAGCCCGTGTTCCCTTCAGAGCAAGTGGGGCCAGGCAAGGGGTCATTACGAGAGCCGGGCTGGGCACGGGGAGCCACAAAGGATTAGATTCTCAACACCCCCAAGATACAGAAAAACTTCACCAGTGGCCCTAAACCTGAGATCAGATTCTAAAACTGTATATAGTTTAGAGCCCTTGTAACTCCAAACCAGCTTCCAACCTGTACTTGAGGCCCTGCTAAGTTTCTTCTCTCTCGCAACTATCCCTTTACTTTCCCCGGCCACCACGTCAGCAAATGATGTTTGTGAACATTTTTGCACCCTCCTATATCATAAGTTTTTTCAAGGGTAGAGACCAGATCTTATTTATGCTAGTATCGTCCTATCGCCTAATGCACGGTAGCCCTGTTTAAATAGCGTGGGTCAGGGCGCCTGGGTGGCTCAGTTGGTTAAGCGACTGCCTTTGGAGCGACTGCCTTCGGCTCAGGTCATGATCCTGGAGTCCCGGGATCGAGTCCCACATCGGGCTCCCTGCACAGCGGGGAGTCTGCTTCGCCCTCTGACCCTCCCCCCTCTCATGTGCTCTCTCTCTCATTCTCGCTCTCTCAAATAAATAAATAAAATCTTTAAAAAAAAAATAAACAAATAAATAGTGTGGGTCAAAGCCAAGACCTAGACTCAACCCCCAGACATCATCCTAAGAAGCACAAGTGAGAACATGCTGACAAGGAGAAGGGGACTGGACTCAGAAGCAGAGTGCCTAGACAGGGGGCCTTCACCCTCGCTCTGTCATTGAAGCCTGCTGGATCCAGCTACCAACTCCTCAGGGTGTGTGGCTTCTCAGGTCAGAGGCTCAGGCCAGCAGATCCAGAACTTTCTTGCTTCAAGAACCATTAAACCTGAAAACTGTGCGTTGGGCTTCATCCCGATGCATCAAGGATGTTCCATGGGCCAAGAATTTAAAATGGAATGGAACAAACTAGTCTCCCAGGGAAAGATGAATAGGTACTCTCAGTTACATTCTTTTTTTTCCCTTGTTTTTTAGTATTTTCTGATCTTCCACTCAGTGAACTTCAGAATGTCTGCTAATGGGACCCTCTTCTCTACAACAGAATTTGACTTTGAAGCAGGACACAAAAGGTAGGCTTTGCCAATGACCTTGCTTCAAGTACCGTCTATCTGAGGGTCAAGGAGCAGGCATGGTGCAGCCTGTGGGCCGCGAGCGAGGCCCCGAGCGGTTTGCTGCCTTCCTGCTGAGTTCAGAGGGTAGTGAGCCCCCCAGAAGGAAGAGGAACTAAGGCAATTATCTGGAAGGCCTCCTTCCCCGTCCCAAATCTTCATCTCCACATAATAAGAATGGAGGGATGGGAGAAGTGTCCCCAGGAATCTGGAGAATCGCCTCAGGTGCCTTTCTGGCGTGGGAGAGGCAGCTGTCAGAGCCGCTCGCTAACATCAGAGCAGCAGCGGGGAGGCGAGCAGGTGGCTGAGGAAAGAGGTGAGGAGAGACCAAGGTTTGAGGATAAAAACACACAGGGTGACCTTGGCTGCTCACCTCACCAGGCTAGTTCCTCAATCCCTGGGAGCCTTGGTCTCCTCACATGGGCGTAATACATGTCCGCAGGGTTACTGTGAGGAAGGACAGAGACAGGGTGGGCAACATGGCAGACATGAGCAGCCCCTGGGGGAGATGGTGGCCAGGAATAACAACTATAAGGAGAGAGAGAAGGGGAGGGGTGGGTTTGCAGAGACGAGGAAGGAAGGGTCTACACGGCAGCTCTGACTTGGCGTGTGCATCTGAAGGAGGGTGGCCAGAAAGGGGCAGACCCTTCCCTCCCTCCTCCCAGCCCATTTTCCCCCCTTCCTTTTGGAGGTAGTGTCAGCAAAGCCTGAGCCCCTCACTCGGGGTGGGGGGTTTCCCCGACAGTTTCCATCTGGTTGCAGGGGTGAGAGATAGCCAAGGGCTTGAAGCCTCCACCACGCTCCAGGTGAACATTGTGAATGTCAACGACGAAATACCTCGCTTTACCAGGTAGGCCTGAGGGCGAGCCGGGCTCCTTGGGCCACAGCCGCCATCTCTCCTGGGTGGCCCGGCTTTCTCAGACGCATTTAATACAACGCAGAGGGATGCCCTTTGCCCTGGCCCGGAGGAGAGCCAAGAGGCCTGAGATCTTCAGCATCCTTTCTCTGAGCCTCCGGACATCCCTCCGCCACCACCTTCACTCCCCTTTCCCCTGCACCAGGGGATGGTGGGTACGGGGCGGGGGTGGGGGGTGGGGAGTGGGTAGCGGGGCTGGACACGACGCCCCTGGTGCGGGGCTGGCCGCTGGGCCTGTGTAGAAGGTAAATACGCTGTTATAATAGAGGTACTGCTATAATAGAGTGTTCAGCATGAATAATAGCAAAACCCTAGGGCATGCACCATTAGTCAAGCCTCTCTAAAGCCCACTCTCTCTCAGATTGGTGTGCTCTCTGACGGAGGAGAGGTCTCTTTCGAAGATGCCTAAGAGGCCTGCCTGCTGCGGGGTGTTCTAGATTTCTTTCTGCCATGGTGGGTCCAGAAAAGAGAGGTGGTTGTGTCTGGCAACTCCTACATCCAGCGGAGGTGAGGTAGCCTGTGGGAATGGGCCTGGCACAGGCCCAGGCACAAAGAGCAGAGCCAAGCCTGTTATAGATGGGGATTTCGGAGGGGAAGATGAGATTCTGAGCTGGCAAACGACCCTGCAAACAGCCCAACTTCCTGGTTACTAGACTCCCCCTGCCCCAGCTGCTGAGGTGGGCTCAGGAGCCAGCCAGAGCCAACCAGCAAAATCACCTGCCTGGTAAGCGATAGTAACTGCTTTCGTGGCTGTGAATAAATCCAGCTCAGGAGACTCCACTGACAGAAAGCCCCGGGGCCCCAGAACCACGTCGAATGCTTGCAAAATTCACAGGCTAAGCTGGCACCGTTTGGCAAAACCCAGCACAGCTGTGAAACTTCCGGATGTGCACGGTCTCCAGCCCAGTGGCTGGGTGTCCACGTGGAGGGAGGAACAGCACGTACACTCCCACACCACGCTTCCCAGCGAGCCCCGTGGCCAGGCAAAGCTCGGAAGGATGGTGCAATGCACTTCTGCTGACCGGTTCCTCCAGGAACCCGGCACGGGCAGTTTATAAATAGCTGGGACATCCCAGCCTGGATTCAGACTCAAGTATTCGCCAACACAGCCATGCAGACTCATCAGTAACCCGCAGGGGTAGGCGACAGCCGCGTGCGAGCCGGTGTGGTCTGCCATGTCGCTCCCACATTCCAGTCTGTGAGGTGGAGAAGCAGGCTAACGGGGTTGCCAAGGGGGAAATAAGTTCTCCCAAGGGGCAGACCACCTGGTTTGGATGACGTCTTCCAAAAGAAAGCAGTTGGCCTCCACAAAAAGAGAACATGGCCTTGGCTGGTTGCTGGGGCCCCCAGAGATAGGTCTGGAGCTCTGGTTCTCCTTTTTGGTTTGAGAAATGGTCCCGTTAGGCTCCATGCCAGAGAGATGGTCTGTGTGACCGTTTAACCAGTTCATAACAAGTCATTGGGCTTTATGTCAAGCAGCGACCCATGGATGTTGGCAGGGATGGGTCTGCAAGAGCCTGTCCCTGGAAGCACTGGGCCAGAGGGGCTGCCCTGACTTCATCCAGATTAGAGTCGACCTCGTCCCTCAGCCACCACAGTTAGTAAGAGTCTGCACGGTTTCAAAGTAGGTACTGACTTTAAGGGCTTTCATGGTTCCCTCAAGCCATGATCCTTCTTTTCCTTCCAAATCAGTGTCAGGACGAACCATAAATTCTTTAATTCAGAATTAATGCAATTAAACCCTCAGACTGATTCAGCTATACTGAGTTTGAGGATGAAGCAAAGTTGCAGAATGTGGAAACAACTCTTCTATCTTTACTAGTTGGTAAAGTCCTACAATTTATACGACCAAAGCGAGTGCTATTTCTGTTGTTGAGAGCTCACCATTTTATCCCTGGGTGGTGGCAAACATCTGAATGCTTTGTGGGCTCCCAATGTGTACTTGAGGATTCTGCTATTATTACGGTCGAGCACCTTATTATAAAAGTACTTGACTTATATTTACTCTCTACGTAGCAAGCACAATGCTTGCTGGTTTGGCAGGGCACTTTACCTTAGACTTGAGCAGTCTCTCTCCCACTGCCTGTTTCTTTTGTATTTACCCACCATCCTTTTCAACCTGGTGCCTTGCAATGAATGCACACACACTTTTATGCACCTACTGCATACTCATCCGTAACACTGAAGCCATCATCTGAGATTCATGCCCTTCCCCATGAATGTGGCCCCTGGCCCTTGACTCCCCCTTACCTGGGCCCTGGTAATCCGGTGTTATGGGAGGGCAGTAGGGAAGAGGTGTAGCGGGGGACGGGGATGTAAGTGATATCAGAGCTTGACCCTGTCGGGTGGCTGCAGGGCCCCTGGCTGAATAGATCTTAACTGTGGGCTGAGGGTCACACCTTTATGTTGAAGGGTATTTTATACACACTTGGGTCTTGGGTCCCCAGACCAAATAAACCAAAGATTTTTTTGCTTTCTGCCAGGATCAATATCAGGTAAGCCAAGGAGAGAATGGTATACCCGAGGAGCTATGCACTCACCAATAGCCTGACTGGTCCCCTTCATAGATACCTGATTTCCTGGTGCACCCAGGGCAGGGGGGCAGATAAGCCTGCAGAATGGGGTGCCTTAAGCAGTGCACTGTGGACATTCCTTGTGGTGGGCGCTGACCCCTGCACTGTAGGGGGTGTAGCTGCATCCCTGGGCTCTACCCCCTAAAGACCAGTAGCAGCCCCTGTCTCCACTTGTGACAAACAACAAAATCACCCCCAGCTGAGAAGCACTATCTTGGAAGAAGGGGATTCTCCACCCAAGGTGTCCTCTGTCCTATGACAGCCTGGGTATCTGTGGTTGTCACCTCTGGTGATTCCTTATAGGAGCTCTTCTCAAACTTTAAAGTGCATACAAATCCCTTGGTCATCTTGGGGAAACGCAGATCTCGATTCGGCAGTCTGGAGCTGGCCTGAGTTCTGCATTCAGATCCAGAACCTCCAGGGGGCCTGTGAAACATGGCGGGACCACACTCAGAGTAGCTTGGCTAAGGGGTGAAGTATAGCAATCTCTTTGTTTGAAGTTAACGGAACCCATTCAAAGTATCCAAAGAAAAAAATAGAATATGTTAGAAACAGAGGCTCTCACATAACGGACGCAAGGGCTTGAGTCTAGCTCTGGGAGCTGGTGCTACGTCCCTCTCTCCTCCGGGTCTGGGTTTGGTTCCTGCCACCTCTGCCTCCTGCTTTGTCTATTCCTGCCCCTCGGTGGGCTGCAACCCAGATTCACCGAGAAAGGGGTCAGGCAAGTAAGTGGATCAATGGGCAGCCTCAGTGAGGACCTGGGTGGGGAGAGGCACAGAGCACTGGGGTGGCCTCTTGGCCTGAACAAGATTAGTGTCCCCCCAATAGAACGCACTGACAGGAAGTCACCTCAGGAATTGGGGGGCAGACCCACGCCCCAGGCAGGAGCCCCGGTGAGCGAGGGCCTGGTTGCAGCCTCTCGCTGCCTGTCTCTGTCTGATGTTAGCTGGATGTCCCCTCTCCCCCTCCTTTCTCTTCCCTCTGGTCCCCTCTACCCTGTGAGGAAGATGAGACAGGACTGCAGAAAGATTCTGAGCTCACAAAATGAATGGGATCATTTAGACCTGAGATAGAATGTTCCCCTCTTAAGGAAGGGAAAATCCAAGCTTAGGAAACTGGTAAATCAGAGGGTGATGATTTTCCCCACTGAAATGATTTTCCCTCAGCAGAAGGATTTCCTGCAGGGTTATTCTAAACAATAAGCCTCCCTTGGTGCATGCAAAATTACTCATTTTTACCCAAGTTGTGTGGCTAAAACTTCGAACCTCTCTGCCTTGTTATCAGCCTGTTCCCAAAGCAGTGAAGGCCTGAGGAGGATGGGTAAGTTGGTGATTTGGGGTTCTCTTGTAAGAGGGCATCCTTGGAGGGCAGTGACCTTGACTTCTCTGTTCAGAGAGCTGACCTTGTGATAAATGCAACTCAGGAGGGTGTACAGGTTCTCTGCGTAAATTCTGCTTCCGCAGGCAAAACAGAACAAAACTAAAAAGACAACGAAGAAATAAAACGTATTTATAGTTTATTACCATAGTGTCTGATGGCAGCCGGGGGATGGGAGCCAGGAAACTGTGTCCAGATGGATTTTTTTATAAAGATTTTATTTATTTACTTGACAGAGAGAGAGAGAGAGAGAGCGCGCGCACAAGAAGGGGGAGGAGCAGAGGGAGAGGGAGAAGCAGGCTCTCCTCTGAGCAGGGAGCCCGATGTGGGGCTTGATCCCAGGATCCCGGGACCATGACGTGAGCTGAAGGCAGTTGCCCAACGGACTGAGCCACCCAGGTGCCCCTGTCCAGATGGAGTTTTAAAATCACTCAGGGAGCTTTTGCACAAGAACTGGAGAGGGAGAGAAGATGGCTGGATAGGCCGAGTATCCTGATGGTCAGAGATGTGAACGCCCAGGCCGATCTGAATCGGCGTCAGGCGTGTGCGGAGTCAGAGTCGAGGCCACTGTACATGGTGGCATCCGCAGGGACGTGATCTTTGGAAACACAAAAGCCGGTTCCTCCCTCCTTTCAGCTGCTGACTGCTTTCTTGGAGCGTGTGGATGCAACTTCAGAAGCTCAGTGCTATATTTAGCACTAACCAAAATACCCACCTCGCCGACTCCACCCTCCCGTGCCCCTGAAAATGAGCTGTGTCTGCTGTATTTCTGCTCCAGCCCAGCGCGAGTGTACACGATTCCCGAGGAGCTGGTTTCAGGCACCATTGTGGCCAACATCACAGCGGAGGACCCCGATGATAAAGGTTTTACCGGCTTCCTCCTCTACAGCATCACGACCCCTAACCGCTATTTCGTGATCAACCAGTGTAAGTCACACAACACACACACACACACACACACACACACACACACACACCCTTCCGTGCATCCTTTAATTCAGCCATTTGGATTCTTTCACAAATATTTTTATCTGTCTTCTCTTCTGGGGCATGCCTTTCTGTCTGGAGTATCATAACTTACTAGGGTAATAGATGCATTAAACGCAGCTGACTTAGGGCTCGGGGAAACTGGACAGGGTCCCAAGGTGATGAACTATATCACTCCTTCACCTTTGAAGCAGGTGGCTATCTAACAACGGATGAGTTCACTATCCTGAGTGTACCTGGAAGTCTTCCAAAAAGAGGATCCAGACCAGCACTGTCCAAAAATAAATAGGGCGGGAGCCACGTATGTAATTTTAAAGTCTAGTAGCCACATTTTTAAAAAGTAACAAGAAACAGGTGAAATTAACTTCAATAAGGCATCTTAGTTATCCCAACACGTCCAAAATATTGTCATGAGCATGTAACCAATATCTTAAAGTTATTAATGATGTATTTGATGTTACCATTTATTGTACCAAGTCTTTGAAGTTTGCTGTGTATTTTTTATTTACCACACATCTCAATTTGGATCAGCCACATTGCAAGTGCTGAATAGCCACGTGTGGCTAGAGGTTACCATACTGGACTACATCAATCTAGAGCAATCTCCTGGGCTGCTGGGAGTTATCTTCCCATCTAAGTATGTTGGTGCAAGAAGGAGAGTTTCCCCCTCCTAGAACACCCATCTTTTATTGGGGTCTTAGCATATACCAGGTGCTATACTAAGTGATCTGCATGTATTCCATTTTAAATACCCAGCACAACAACCCAGCGAACTATTGTAATCCACACTTTATAGATGAGGGAACTAAGGCTTAGAGAGAGACTTGGACAGGGTAAATGACTTGTCCAATACCTCACAGCCTGTGCGTGTGAAGCAGATTGAAACCAAAGACTGCGACCCCAGAGACTACTCCTAGGTGATAGCACCTTGTAAGTTCCTATCACATCCTTCCAAAGGACTTCACTTTACATGATGACTTTGTGGAGGCCAGCATCGGACAATCCCAGAAAAACAATGTGTTATTTGCCCCATTGGCTTTATGGCAAAGGATGCCTGGTCCCAGGAGAGGCAGGCTAAGGCAATAATTGTGCTCTATCTCTGAGCACTTGCTAGTGTCCTGTCATCAAGGACCTCACTCAGCTAATGGTGTAAGGATGGACAACCATGGTTTAGAATTCTGTTCACTCTAGTATTGCAAATGTAACTTTTAAGAAATGCAGTGGTTTTTTGGAACAACTTTATTAAGACTCTGGTTGCAAGCAACAGAAATGAAGGCAAGCCAAACCAGGCAAGAGAGAAAAAAAAAATAAGCCAGTCCTTACACTAGAATGATCTTTCCAATTGCCTCCAAGTCTCCAAAGGGTTGTGTTCTCACCTTTGCCTTTTTAGTGACCGGTACGATCCAAGTGGCCCACAGGCTAGACCGAGATGCAGGTGAATTAAGACAAAATCCCTCCATTTCTCTGGAAGTTCTGGTGAAGGACAGACCCTCGGGGGGTCAAGAGAATCGCATGCAGATAACCTTCATCGTAGAGGACATTAATGACAACCCGGCCATGTGCACCAAGACCACCTTCAGGTATATTCACGTGCAGGGTGCCCTGCTCCTCAGTGCTCAGTGGGCCTTGACTTTTTGGCTTCTCTGGCAGGAACCGAAGAATCGTGAGCATCCAGGACATGCTTCAATAACAGAAGCCCACCTGAGCTGTCCAATTTCGGAGATTGGTTTTCCTTTCTTGCTCCTTTTCGCTTTCCTCTCTTCATTTTCTTCCCTTTTCCTTGTTTCCCTTCTGCACTTTCGTACTCTGGCAAAAAATACATAATATTTATTTTTATTTTGCTCTCTCCTATAGCATGTTCATCTTTGTTCATGAAACGTACCACAGAGACCCTCTGGGTACTGTGCCTTTTCTTTCTTTATTGCCACTGGTGGCAAGACGGTGCTGTTAGTTAGCATTATAATAGAGACTTGAGACTTAAGATTAGTAGCCGGGAGCTCCCCAAGAAACATGCCACCAGTAATAGGAATAAATCACACCACGTATTTACTTAAAACAAAACAAAACATCTAATTCACCTTACACAACTTCATTGCCGGGAAACCAAAGGCAACCAAAAGGGGAAAAAAATGCAGAAACAAGTTATTTTGTACATTTTGACCTATTCTTCGTGTCACAACCTCTTCAGTGTTACTTAAAGTCCCTCGTGATTCTGTGTTAATATGCCTCTTGGCGAACAGCACTCTCTACTAGCTCTTTTGTCTAAATGCCACACGGGTCGTTCCCAGGGTTGGTTTCATCTCTGTGGCTTCCTACTTGCTAGTCTCCAGTTTCTCGGGACCGTGAAGGTGGCTCCTTGTTGGTGGGAGGGCACCTCCACAGTGACGCTGGCTGAGAGCGTGCCTGCATCTGGAACAAGGCTCAAGACCAGAGCTGGTCCCCCTTTCAGGTGTCCCCATGGAGAGAGTCTTCCTCTGAGGTCGCCTTTGACAGGTTCTGCAAGGTCACCTTTAAGCTCTAGGTGACTTTGGACACAGAGCTAATCCATAGTAGCTGCAAAGGACCCTAGGACAAGGAACAAGGATTGTTGAGGGTTAGCAATAGAACTATAAATTCCTTTATTATGCTTATGAGTGTCTCCCTGTTTTTTCAATTGGCGTTCCCCAGCGCCGAAGCTAAAAATCAGTGTGGCCTGGAGTCAGATAGCAAAACAGTTAAACCTGTTTGGATGGGCCCTATTTGCCCCTTCAGATCCAGCTTCCAGATTTCCCCACCCTGCTCTGTGCCCTAGGAGTATGGATATGACCTATATGGATATCAATTGGCTCCCTTGCCCTGCAGCTTCTGGTTGGCCAATGGGAAGCTCTAGAATGAAGGGGAGAGTCAAGTCAGGGTATTTACCCCACTGGCTCCCTGCCTGTCGGCTGGAGAAGTCCCTCCACCTCCGGAAGTTCCCAGATTGCACGTGGCAATCTCTGTTCTAGCTTCAGGAACTGCTCCCTCCACTAGACTGATTACTGAAGGTAACTCTAAACAGTGTTCAAGTTCCAGTTCTGGGGTTTTCCAACACGCAGGCATCCTGTGAAAGCCAGGATCTGGAGAGGGGCAACAAAAGGGCCCCTTCCTCTGCAGCCTCAGGAGATGGAAATCTTTATTCCAGAAACCCAGCCTCATTTGCAAACTTCAGGGGCTGGGAAACCTGACCCGGTATCGCCTGCCACCAATCCTTACCACCTTCCCCATTTCCACCATGCCGGAGCACACAGGTGGGTCCAAACCAAACAGAACAGGACTGGTGGTGCCACCAGCTCTGACAACACGCGTCCCTGAATATTTATTCCTTCTTCAGGGCTTTTGGCGTGGTCCCTGCCGGGGACTTTGGGAGAGCAGGTGGAAGAGAGGGAGAGAGTGCCAGCACCCAGTGGGTTGGAGGCAGGTGGCTGTGTGCCCGGCCCCCTGCTGCCCTCGTGGGTCGCAGGGGTCCTGCAGGCTCTCCGGCCAGCCTGGAGATGGAAGCAGCCCTTAGCATGGGGGCCCCTGCAGCTTTCCCAGGCTGGTGATGAATGAGCCCGGGGCCTGAGCGAGGCATCAAAGGCACCGTGACAGCCCCCATTCTGGTTGTAAATTGTCCTGCGCTTGGCTGAAAGCGCTTGGCAAGCTGTTTGTGAGCCAGAGGCGGAGAAGGTCAGTCGGCTCAGACTGTGGCTGGGCCAGTCACCTTTGTGCGGGGAGGGAACGTGGTCAGATGGCTGGGAGCAAGGGCAGCCGGCCTTTCAGGCAGGCCTTGATGAATGAGGGGGAGTGGTTTTCTAAGTCATGCGTTTGGGGGAAAAATACCAAGCCTCAGGGGGGGAAAAATGAAAAGAGCACGCTAGGCAGCCCCGAGAGGCGGAGAGCATGCAACGTCTGGCTGCAGGACGCGGGATTCTTTGGATGATGCAACACTCTGGCTTCCACAGAGTTGGAATCAAGGTCTGGGTCCCCAAAATGTCTGTGGGCCTGGAGATTCATTGTTGGGACTTACAGTCAAATTTCCTAACATAGACAATAGAGAAGCCTGCCTGCCTGCACCAGCTTTCTGGGACAGGTCTCGAAACCACTCTGAACCACTCTTTCTTCACCTGTGAAATGGGGACAAGAATCCAGAGCCCTTGAAGATGAGGGAATCAGAGGTAGTGCTTCTAAAGTACTTGTTCTGATACAGCATGTCGTTGGTGTTTAATAAGTGATATCTATTCTAAGTACTTATGAATGAAACCACGACATTGTATAGTCAAGACAGGAATGGAAATGTTTGGACCCCAGTCCCACTGAAGCAGAGGCTGTCTCTGCCAAAGAGGCACCTGTCAGGGAAAACACTTTCCAGGAAGCAAGTCCAGTTATTCTCAGCAGCCCAAGACCCTCCTTCCTGTCAGGCATTGCTCTGCCTTCGCTGAGCCCAGAGCCCACGTTAGCTGCCATGAAGAGATGATGTGGGATATAGAAGGGAGCGGAGTTTGGCTGCAGAGAGAGGTGATAGTGTAGAGGATTAGGGAACTTAACACATGCTAGTCTGGTGTTCTGAGTACAGGACACCAAGACGGGATTAAATGTGTGAGGCTTTTATTAGGGGACACTGCTGGGGGAGAAAATGGGGTGAGCTAGACAAGGCTGGGAGAGTCATTAGACCACAGCACAACTCTGACCTCAGCAAAGGGAAGAGGGAAGGAGGGTGGACAGAAATGTTCTAGCCTGCTGTGTAGGCTCTGGAAGGTTTGGCTAGGGCATCGAGGAGTCCTAGTGCCAGAGTCCGCGGTCACTGGACGGGAATGAGCCTCCCTTAGTATCTCTGCGACTCGCAGTCGCAGGTACATGGACTCACTGCATATGAAGCAATGGATTTCAGAGCACAGCAGCATAGGGTCTGTGTTCGGGTATGCTCCTTGGTTGAGGGTCTTCCAGACGTGTTCTCATGGCAGCCACGATGTATTTTTGCAAGAGAGAAATGATTGAGGTAGACAGCAAAAACCAAACCAAACCACACACCAGCCACAAATTCCTCTCTCTGCACCCACACCCCTTTACAATGGGATTCTGCCATTCCTCCCATCAAGAGATGGGTTCCTCTTTCTACTCCTTGGATCTGGACCTGACCGTGTCGGTTGCTTTGGCCACTGGAACATTCACAAATGGGATGCAGCTGAGGCTCAAATGATATGTGTGCATTGGGACTTGCCCTCTTTTGCTACTTTTGGGAACCTGAGATATCCATGCGAAGAGCCTGGACCCATCTCGTGGAGGGTTACTGACGACAGGAAGCAGACACCTACTGCCCTCTCGCCACAAGACATGTGACCGGGGCCATCCTAGACCAGCTAGCCCAAGCCAGATGGCCAGACAACAGAGATGGGCCAAGCCAGAAAAGAGCCCAGAGAACTCATGGATAGTCCTGAGTATTGCAAGAAATAACAAGGGGCTCCTTTTAAGCCACTACATTCTGGGCTGGTTTATTATGAAGCAAAAGCTAACTGACATGATTTATGTCTAGATTATAGATGGAAAACCTGAAACCTGGAGACACAGTAAAGTCCCTGAATGAACTGAAGCCTAAAGGTGTTAATCACGCTTCCTCGGGGCCTCCCACACCGAGTGCGGCTGGACCAGATGGCTCCGAGTGTGCGGGCAGCTTTCCTCATTTGTGCTACTGGAGTCACCCGAGATTGGGACCCCCGAATTCAACCCTTGATAAAGCTCCCTTGGGTGAATGGCACTAACATGTTAGGGGGCCCTTTTATGACATCAAAGTCCATTAGAACACAAGTGGCAGAAATTCTGAGTTTCAAAGCGTGGGAGGTGAGGAGTGCAGGCACCCAGCGATTTTCCCTAACCAGGTCATAAGCCCCGGGCAGGCAGGGCAGAATTCCGGATTTCTCTTATATTCTTCACGGCTGTGTTAGCCTCCTAAGTCACCATTCCCTCATTCAACGGACGTTAGCAAGTGTGCCAAGAACAGAGCAAAGATTTCTGTCCTCGTGGAGCTTCCATTGCAGGGGGGGAAGCAGGAGATAAACAGGTTAAATAAGTAACTGTGTAGTAGATGGGAAAAGGGTAAGTGCTAAGAATTTAAAATAAAGAGGGGCAGCCGGAGAGGGACCAAGGGGAGGGAACGGCTGACCTTGAGAGAAGGGCACCACGGTGGCCTCCGGAGAAGGCGACATTGGTGAAGGTGAAAGAGCAAGCTGGGTGGGCATTTGTGGGGAGAGCACTGCACAGTTGGGGATGGCCTGAGGCCAGACTTCCGGGAGCACCAGGGGAGAGTTCTAGAAGCACCGGGAAGCGCGGTAGCGGGAGCCGACAGGGAGCATTGCAGCAGGAGAGGAGTTGGGACAGGTAAGACGAGGCAGGGTGCGCACATCACGAAGAGCCCCCTCGATCAAAGTGAGGACTTTGAGTGAAATAGAAGCCACTTGGGATTTAGGAGCAGAAGAGTGGCGTGACCTGACAATGTTTTAACAGGATCCCTCTGGTTGCAGTGTTAAGAAGAGTCTGAAAGGAGGCAAGGGCAGAGCAGGGAACCCATTAGGCGGTGACTGCAGTCACCGCAGACTAGCTTTGAACTGAAATTAAAGCAGAGGTGTCTAGCCTAGGGCCTATGTCAGGAGAAACACTCAATCACCGTTTGTCGGGGGAAATATTGAATCGTGTCTTTTCCGCAGCATTATGGTGCCTGAAAGAGAGGCCAAGGGGACGTTGCTTCTGGACCTGAACAAGTTCTGCTTTGATGATGACAGCAAAGCACCAAACAACCAATTCAACTTCAGCACGCCATCTGGAGTGGGGAGCAGCGGCAGATTTTCACAGGATCCAGCAGGCTCTGGGAAAATCGTGGTCAGTTAATGGTCATTGCATCACCGAAAGGGCATCGGGGAAGCTGGTGTAACATGCATAGAGCTTTTGCTGCCCCGTAGAGGGAAATTTCCAGGGTAGCTCCCTCTCAAAGCGACTGTAACTGACAAACATAATAGTGACTCTGTTTTCCCCATGTGCTCTTTATTTTACCCAAGTTCCGGGAATCATTTGTTATGCATAGTTGTGCCTGGGTGCTAAGGACTGGATTCTTTCCTGCAAAGCTTGCAGTTGGCGTGCCTGTTCCGCGTGCCCCTCACGGTCATGTTAGTGCCCTCTGGGCTCAAGTGCTTTTGTTTACCCGAGGGCTCATCTCTGGCCCAGAGAGGTGTTAAGTGAGAGAAAGGTAGTCCAGCGCCCCGGCTGTGGAACCACTAGAGACCCAGCGGAGAATGAGGGGGTGCCAGTGTATAGCTGCCCCCCTCCACAGCAGCTCTACAGGGGCAAACAAGCAGAATTGGAAGACATGAAAGGCAGGTCCCCAAGAGCTGTGGAGACCTTTACCTACAGGGTTCCCAATGGAGGGTGTTGGGGAAGGAGGAGAGGGAAGTGAAAGGGCAGAGGGGTCAGGGAGTGGGGGGCCTCAGAGTGGGGGCCTGGGAGTGGGGGGTCAGGGAGTGGGGAGCCTGGGAGTGGGGGGTCTGGGAGTGGGGAGCCTGGGAGTGGGGGGTCAGGGAGTGGGGGGTCTCAGAGTGGGGGCCTGGGAGTGGGGGGTCAGGGAGTGGGGAGCCTGGGAGTGGGGGGTCAGGGAGTGGGGTGTGGGGGGAGGTCTTTGCATCAGGGATAGAGAGCCTCAGGGAGAACCAGCAGCCCAGTAGGCATTCTCTCCCCACGTCCCATCCCAAGCCCTTCTTTGACCCGCAAGAAAGTCTTACCAATTTATGCACACATGTCAGCTAAAAAATAATTTCTATTTCTTCTGTTTAGGAAATTAATACGTCTTCACTGTAGAATGTAGAAAACACAGAACAACATTCTCAGTAGTGAGAACCACTATTAACATTGTGATGTGTTACCCACTTGTCTTCTTTCCTATGCATACATTTTTATGAATATGCCATACATATATGCATAAATCTTTTAAATGATGGAAATATCCCTGCCTATAGGATTCTATATCGTGCTTCTCTTCAAGTAACCTGAAGTCTTGAGCTTATGCTGTTGGGCACTAGTGCTTGATGAACATTTTCAACATTGATTCTCCCGATAAATTCTTTTGAATAAATTCTCTAACAGTGGGCAAAGGTATGGATGTAACCTGTTAAAGCTCCTCTTACAGCAAAATGCTTTGCAGAGAAGGTTTTGCAATTTATATATCCACTAACAGTACATGAAAATGTCTCTGTCAGTTTAATTAAAAGGACTGTTTATTCTGTGTGATATGATATGATATGATATGATATGATATGATATGATATCTCTGTTTTAACCTAGTTGATTGGTGACCTGGATTATGAAAATTCAAGTAATCTAGCAGCCGGCAATAAGTACACCATGATAATCCAGGTGCAGGATGTTGCCCCTCCTTACTATAAAAGCAAGTATCATTTTGATTTATTTCATGAAGCATCTTCTTTGAGTAGCAACAGCTAAACTGTGCTAGGCAGCACTTGGTATTGGGCTAGGCATTTGTGTTCAAAAGGAGACTTCAAAAACCCGAACACTTGGGAATCAGCCCAGGCTCCTCCTGTCCTTTGCCAGGCACTTTTGATCTGTCTCTGAGTCCTTTCTTCTGTGTCACCTAAAATCTCAAGGATCTGCTTCCCCCACCCCCCGCCCCGGCCCCTCCTGTAGTAGTGCTCAACGCAGAACCTCCCCTTTCCTGGCTCAATTACAATACTAAGAGTCTTTTAAGGATCCTTCTGTCTGGCTTTTGTCTTGCCCCTTTCCAGTGCACCCTCCACATTCTGACAGTGATTTTCAGGAAATGCAAATAGCATTATATTACTTCTTCACTGAAAGACCTCCAAGTGTCTCCCCATAGCTGTCAAGTTCAAGTTCAAACTCTGGCTTAGCACACAAGGACTTTCATCTCTGGCCCCTGCCTAACTCTCTGGCATCAGCTCTGATTGCCCATCTCTAAGCTTCCCTTTTTCCAAACTGTAGTTTCCCTGAGACAGTCATGCAGTTCTCTACCTCGCACATGCCCAGAACCACCCCACCCCCCTGCACCCCCCGCTCCACCCTGGCCCATTTGTTTGAACCCTAAGTATCCCTAGGAGCCAGCTTCTTGCCCTTCCTCCAGCATCCACAGGGACCCGTACACATGTTCAGCCAAAGGCAATTAACTACTCTAAGTAAACATCGTTTTTTGTTTTTTAAAGATTTTATTTATTTATCTGACAGAGAGAGACACAGCGAGAGAGGGAACACAAGCAGGGGGAGGGGGAGAGGGAGAAGCAGGCTTCCCGCCGAGCAGGGAGCCCGATGCGGGGCTCGATCCCAGGACCCCGGGATCACGACCTGAGCCGAAGGCAGCCGCTTCACGACTGAGCCCCCCGGGCGCCCCTCTAAGTAAGCATCGTGAAGGCAGGACTCACTAGGTATTCTTCACCTTGTATTTCCCTCCATTTTGCACAGAGCCTGGGACACGGCGGGTGCTTTAAAAATGGTGAATAAACACATGTGTGAGAGGGGGGTGTTGCAGTTTAATTTTTTTTTTTTCTATCTCTGCTTTCAGACAACATCCACATTTATATCTGCACAAAGCCCGAAAATGAGTTTCCTCTTGCCTTTGACAGGCCGTCCTACGTATTTGAGGTGTCAGAATTAAGGCCAGGTAAGGAGCCGACAGGACACAGATCCCAGTGCTCCCGATGGACTCCTTCATTCCACGGAGCAGAAACCGCCTTCCGCTCAGGGGCCCTGAGTGGTGTTGTGCACGGCAACTCACAGCTCATTCGTGTTTATTTCATCTCTTATTTCTTTTTAAATTGTCCTCACTGCTGAGGAGCTCTTCAGGTGAAACCTGGATTTTGGAAAACTGTTGTTTAAGCTGCGTTTCTCTGAAGCCCTGATTGCTTCTTTGTCTGCGTGCCTGATTCCGCTCATCTTCCCTTTTTGTGGCCAAGTTTTCCCTTGGTCTCCACTGTGATTTTTATCCCGCTCGCGCAGACAATGGAAATTTAAAAATAGAGAACAGATTTCCCATTTGTAGATTTCCTTCGTTTAAAAACAAAATGAAGACGTTTTCTCGCCCATAACGGGATTCCCTGGAGGCCTCTTTTGTGCCCTCTGTTCACATCTCGATTTCTGTGGGTTCTTCCCCTCTTTCAGCTTCAGCTTCTCCCCAACTCCCCTGACTTCAAGGTGGGACCCTTAATTCTAGTATAATCCCATTCAGCCCCACTTTTGATCCTTAACTCATGGATACTTCCTCTTCTTATTTAGCCAACCAACCAACCAACCCAAACACTCCCTCTAAAAGGATCTCTCCAAATTAGTTTCTGTCTTGAGAATGGTCTCCATTTCCTGGCGTTAAGTTTTAAACAAAGGGCAAAAAGGTTCTGAAAGAGAATGCTTTTAATTCCTTATGCCTCATCCAGTGAATAACAAATGCAGCAGGCATTTTAAGAATAAGCAAGCTTCTTATTCTTCACAGATCTTATTATGATTATTGATCACCTACTGTGGGTCAAGCACTTGGCTCTGGAGCTATACAGTTAGTTAAATGAGAGGTTTCTGCCCTTGAGGAGTGCAATGTATGAGAAAGAGCCACAGAACAAGCCAGCCAGAACTCCAGCAGCCCCACCAACAAGCTTTGTAAAATAAGCAAAATAGAGCAGTCTTTAAAATTCTATACTCTAGGGACGCCTGGGTGGCTTGGTCGGTTAAGTGTCTGCCTTTGGCTCAGGTCATGATCCCAGGGTCCTGGGAACGCCTTACTCTATGGCTTGGATCATAGGGCCAGTTACCTGGTACAGGCTCATTAGCATAATTTGATTTTAATAGACTTGAAGACATAAAACATACAGTGTATGAACAGCAAAGAGACCTCCAAAAGTCTTTCTGCCCATGGTGATGGGAATGTGTGCTCCTGGAGTCTCCCCTCCCGCACCCCGCCCCTTCAAAGCAGGACTAATCTCAGGTACTTTATCCTTCCAGCTCGAACCCGGGTGGGACTAGTGCATGCCACCGATAAAGACTTCCCCCAGAGCAGCATCATGTACTCCATCTCCATGGGAGGAGCCAGCCTCCAGTACCCAAACATATTTTGGATCAATCCCCAGACAGGAGAACTCCAGCTGGTGACGAAAGCAGACTACGAAACAACCCCCATCTATATTCTCAGAATCCAGGCCACCAACATCGAGGACAGCAGCTCAGTCACTGTGAGTGGGGCCATGGGTGTGTTCACACCAGCCCAACCGGTTGACTTAGGATCTTTCTGGCACCTTCCAGGTGTGGCTGTAGCAATAAGGAATCTTAACGGGGCCCATCCCGCAGATGTAAGGGGAAATGACTAGTGTCCAGGACGGCACACTTGGACACAGCTAGCAGAGCCTAGGAAATAAAGATTGGCATCTGTAGGCCCAAGTTTGTGGGTAGCTGGGAGGTGTGCCAAGATTGATGACCACTCTGCACAGCCGGCTTCCCCCTGTTACCCTTTACATCTCCCTTCACTTTGGCAGTGGGCTAGCAGTGAGATGCATGCTTCCAGAAGTGTGGTGTGGTTTCGTCGCTATGCGTAGTTTTGCCATGTTCCTACCCCTCCCGAATCATATCAGATAGGGTAGACCTTCATATGATGTGGCTTGACCCAGGGTTATGCTGCTTCTCAACCGTGGTGTTGCGCATCTGGTTAAATGTAGACGCTGAGTCGGCACGTCTAAGTGGGCCTCGGAATCTGCATTTCTAACACACTTCCAAGTGGTGCTGATGCAGCTGGTCTGAGGCCACACTTTGAGTAACAAGGGTTTAATAGGGTTGTGCTGTCCATGGTTATGATTATCTGGAGATAATACGATGGCCACAAAGACGGAACTATTTCTTGGTCTTTCCCATTAATAAAATGAAGGCAAAATGAACTCTTGCCCAGTGGCACGCAGCCCCGTGTGATACAGAGAACGACTGGTTCAGTCCAGAGATGGAGTTCATGTCTCAACTTTAATCCCAATTTTCCAAGGGGGTCTGAGCAACGCTTATCTTTGTGTCCCAATTTCTCTCTCTCTTAAATGGAGAGTCACCTAATAACCCATCGCCTGAACAGTCCAGTTCCTCTGATGACTGGCTTTGAATTAATAGGACATGTTTTTAATGATGTGCGAGGCTCGACATTGCTAGCTGAGCAAAAGACGTGCTAAGCTGAAGATAATTGTCGTGTTTGTTAGGCTGGGTTTTTGAGAAAAATGAATGGACTCCACTTTGGGAGCTAACTGGAGTGAACATTTCAATTTATTCCCGGGCTCAGAAATAGCTGAAATCCCCAAATTTCAAAGGTAGAATGAACACGACTCAAAATTCATAAGCCTTTAAAAAGGGTGATGATCACGTAAGTCCCTTCCAGGGCTGACATTCTATGATACCACGCTGGCAGGCGTCCCAGTCCGTACTTCAATTCACCAAGCATAAAAGATGATGAAACAGAAGACGCTAGCTTCTGCTTGTGGCAGCTTAGGCCACCGGCTTCGCGCGGTGCCCATAGCCCAGGTCACAGATGAGGTCCCAGCTTAGCCAGGTCGACTCCTCCTATCCTGGTGGTTCTCAACCATGGCTGCATATTAGAATCAGCTGGAGAACACTTACAAAAGTGCCTGGGCCCCACCCTCCTGAGAGTTCAGTTCACCTGGTCTGGAGCGGGCCTACAAAGTGGAGCCAGAGCTGAGAACCATTGTTCTATATTCCAGAGTTAAAGACAGAACTTCCAATCTGCAAGGGCGATGGGCAAGGAACTATAGGGGGTCACTGTAAATTCGTCTTCCTTACTGGAAAAACAACTCTGCATCACGTGGGGATGAACCCATGCTTCTAGGTGCATGTGGGGGGTGGTATGTGAATGTGTGTATATATATATTATGCCCATGAGCACACACACACACACACACACACACACACACACACACACACA